TCTGTTTGGGTCTAGAATGTTTCCATAGCAACCATTTCTTCTAATTCGGACACAAAAGCAAAACACCTGTCCCATCTGTTTTCTTGCATTATCATTACCAAGGATTTAAAACAAAATATCTCTGAGATTTTTCTTATAACTAAATCTGACCTGCAGAATGGTATACTATTTTTCAATAGTTCAGAATACCAAATGCCAAGTGTAGGAATCATCACAAATGTCTGGAACCAAACAAGCTCCAGGGTCAGAATTAAACCAATTTTGATTTCATAACTTTGATTTCTATTACAATATTTGACTACTCTATGCTGGGAGGTCTGTGTCATGGATACATAGTCTCTTCTGCCTTTCTTTGAGGTGTCTTAAATTTAAAAGGAAAATACAACATTTTTATGAGCATATTGACTTAGTTACCTACTGCCTTTTGAGTATTAATTTTAAATGGCTATTTGAAAAGATTATAATGTAATGTACATCATAGGAAATCTGAAAATAAATAAATACAGTAAGAATCTCTTATCCTCTCTTTGATATTATTGTTCTTTTTCTAGAAACATATTTCATACATGCATACATTTATATTTGCACATGACATACTTACAAACTTGGCTAGATTTTATCTATAGCTATATTATCCATATCTCTATATATTATATCCATATCTCCATATATTGGACTGGGCAGCCAGTCCAGTCCAGAGGCCCTGCTAGATTTGTTGGTAGTCTCTTGTTCTTCGCCTTCATTTACACTTATAATCCATCCTTACTCCCCTCCTCATCTCCATGATTTTGGCTTTGCCTCCTTTCTATAAGTCTTTAAATACAAGTCAGTTTTTAGTTTGGACTGTTTTAAAATGTATTGAACTTGACAAAACACACTAAATGTTTATTCAAACAGGCATAATTGTTTTATGTTTACATCCTCATTAAGCTTGATATTGAATTTTCTAGCACTTCAAAATAGTTTTGGATTAATTTATAGCACATGAAAAAAAGCCTTTTTAAAAAAACCCTATATTTGGTTGAAATCATAACTTCAATGTTCTTCGTAAACAACAGTGCTCCACTGCATTTTAGCTTATGGCAGTTTCAACAAAACTGTTTAAAAGAAGTATTTTTTCTTTAAAGAATGTTGTAAGAAAAAATGAGACAAATGAACCTTGTAAAATTTCATTTAAGTTTTTTGGCAAAAATCAAATTCTATTAATTACTTCATCATATCAATGTGGAGAAGAACACATCAATATCATAAGAAATTCTTCCCAGTACATCATTCTAAAGCCTGGAAAATTGTTCACCTCGAGGTTTCATGGTGGGGCCAAGATCTGGGAAGGAGGGGCTCATGAGGGGGTGAGGCCACCAATGTTCTTCCCCAGTGACTACTCTTTTCTTGGGGCCCAACCAACTCCTAACCCCCTCCAACACTTGGAAGATTTAAATCCATGGAAAACATATTGGCAGACTTGGGAGAAGGTGGGTGTTAGGATAAGAATCTTCTTAAATGACACCCTGGTGTCGTCACAAGGACATGACAGGGCTGCCACACACAGTTCAAATGTCACAGACAAAATCCTGAATGGCAGTAAATTCAGTATCAGCTGAAAGTTTCTTTGGCCAAGGCCATTGGCCAACTTTCAAACTTTCAGCTGAACTGCAAACCACTAAAGGACTGGAACCTAATGCAATCTCTCAAATTTGCCTTCCTGGGGACCTTTCAAGATGAATCCTTCCATCTGGGGTGAAACTGGAGCTTGTTCTCACTGCTAAGTCAGGAAGTTGCATGTTCCTGCTGAGCTGCTTTCCTCCAGTGAAGTTTACTAGGTGGCTCACACTTCCAGGAGAAAATAGGGGCGAGGGGACCAAATCCCAAGGAAACCACCACATAAGGCAATGGTGAAGGGAACCTAATCCACCATTGCTAGCTCACGTTAGAGTTGACGGGAAGGGAGTGTTCAGGACTGCAATGGTCTGGCTTCTGTCTATATAGGAGCAAAACCCAGGGGCAAAGCAGCACCTAGCCAGGTGCTCTCATTGGGAGGGCTTGGTGAACACTTGCCAGGGGCCCCTGCACCCCCGAAGGGAGAAGAGGTTAAGAATCACGGCTCAATCCTTACCCACAGATTCCTTCCTTTCAGGGAGAGGATGAGAGACACAGCCTCACTCAGGACAGGGGAAAAAGTGGGCCTGGGCTTAGTTCTCAGAGGGCTAATGAACCAGTGCTGTCAAAGAGAGGGTGAGCATGGATCTCCCAAAGTACAGGCATGTGTAAGATGAATGCATAAATCCAGGAGTGGTACGAAGCACCCAGAGCTGAAAACCACTAGAGAACTCGAACCTAAAACAAATGCTAACCCTGATGCATTCAAGGAGAATTCAGGAATTAGACTTAAGAATGCATTCTCAGCGATTCTTACTCAAAATATCTTCTTTAGCCTTACCTTTACTGGAGGCAAAATTATTTCTCAAATAGTTTAGAAATTCTGCACTGTGATCTCGACAAATGCCTTTGCATATTTATCTCGAATCCAAAGACTGTCAATGGAGGGCGTTGTGAATTCCAACCTATTTCCCAGGCCAGTCAGGTTCCGATTAGTATAACCCTCAGAAGCTGGATATATGACCACAGTGTCCAGGGCAATCTAGACTTGTGACCTCAGCATCCAGGGAAGGACATGGATGTGAGACCCCAGTGTGGGGAGAAATAGGGAAATCCTCAGTGGCAAGGTTTTGGCCAGCAGCAGAATGAACAACTCCTTCCCACTACTCCCTTTCCTGGGGTGAGGGCGGCTGGGGGTAAGGGCTTCACCTCCCAGGGGCCCTGGGGATGTGGTGGAGGCTGTTCCGATGCCCTGGAATGAGGAGGGGTAGCTGCCTACTGGACTTGACTGCAGGGGACCCACTTACAGTTGCACAAGGTGAAAAGCATTCTGTCTGAAGAGGTCTCCCTCTCCAGCTGCAAAGGGCTTTGAATAGTCCCCTGCAGCCAAACTTCTGATGCCATTCTGTTGGATGGGCTCTGAATTCCGACTCGCACTAGCAAATTCAAGACTGCAAAACCAAACCTTCTCCAAACGTGCAATAAAGCACTCATTGGATGCTGTGCTTCCCTTCACACAGCACGTCTATTCCAGGCATCTCTGCCACCCAGATGGCAGCCAGCCTGGCCCCACGAGGACCTCAGTGCATGTGGGAATCAACACACAGAAGGCTTAGCCCCAGGGTCCACCTCCACTCTAGGAGCTGTCACACCTTGCTGGCTTTTTTTTTCTTATTTTGAAATTTCCCATCTTGGCTCAGCTGCAAGACACGGGGGGAGTTATTTAACTTTCACCGTCTCAGCTGTGAAATTCCCACAGGAAAACTGTGCGGGCACTTCAGTGATTTTACCACACAGTGGAAATGCAAACCGGTATCTGGACATACAGAAAAGGAATTCACGTTGCAAGGAGGGAGGGAATGAGTGCATGCAGCTGTGGGTGTCCAGCATCACCTGGTCCTGGGATTTCTTTTTCTTCTTTTTCTTGCCCCAGCACCCAGAGCTCTCCGCGTCCTTGCCGTTGGCCTCGCCGCAGAGCAGCCCGTCCAGCTCATCCGTGCCCATGTGCTGTCCCTGAGACGTTTCTGCTGCCAGCCGGTATGAGAGGTTCCTTAAGATGCACACACAGTTTTCAACGGTCTGGGAAAACAGAGAAGAAAGAAAGAGAGAAGGGAAAACAGAAGAGGAATGAACAAGAACTAACCAGCACTCTGCCCTCCACCCTGGACAGGCAACGAGTCCCAGGCACACACTTCTCTCCTGCTCCCAGGGCTCCCCTGACCCCGGTGGAAAGAATTCAGAGAAGCCTGGAAAGGTCATGATACCCTCTCTCCCCACACAGAAGCTATGCATCAACAACAGTCGCTTCTAAGAACCTGTTACTGTTGATTGACAGTTCACTGGAGAGAGGAGGAATTTATAACCAAGAGCTGTCCCCAGTGCCTCTACTCCCAGACTAGTCCTGCCTGGGACTCAGAGTCCCAGTCATGAAGAACACAGGCCCTGGCCTGTGGTCAGCCCTGGTGGGTGACCCTAACCTGCACCATCTACACTTCTGGGTGTAAGAGGAGCAATATACACAAACTAGGGCTGTCGCATGCACATTAGGGGCTATGGCCACTGGGAGGAATATCTGTTCTCATTCAAATGGTTCTTTCAAGAGGACCAACATTCCTATTTCCTAGCAAAGGGGTTCAACAGCAGTTAAGGGCACATGTGGAGCTGGACACCTGTGGAGCTCTGGATCTCCACTATTAGCTGGTTGACTTTGGGTGATATAATCATGGTATCTTGGACTCATTGTCCCCCTCCGAACAATGACCACAATAGGACCTCATCAGTAGATTGTTGTGTGGGTCAGGGGAGCGAATGAATGTGTGTGCAATGGTCAGAATCACGCCCCCAAGTGTCCACATCCTAACTGCTGGACCTGTGAATGTGTTAGGTTCTATGGAAGGTGATTAAGGCTCAGGTGGAATTAAGGTTGCTGTTTGGCTGACAGATGGCCAGTTTACCTAGATTTTCTAGGTGGCCCATTTACCACGAAGTCCTGTAAGAGGCAGGCAGAAGAGTCAGGGCAAGAAGGTTGTGATGCTGGGAGGTAGGAAAGGCCTCAATGGCTTTGAGTATGAAGGAAGGGGCCACAAGCCAAGGGGTGTGGGCAGCTTCTGAGCTGGCATGTGGAAGGAAGCAGATTCTCCCCTGGAGACCCCAGGAGAAGCCAGCCCCCATGGCACTTTCTGTTTAGCCCAGTGAGACCCATTTTGGACTCCTATACTCTAGAACTGGAAGATAATAAATATGTGGGGTTTTACCCAGCCACCACGTTTGTGGCCATTTGTTACAGAGCAGAACAATAGGAAATTGATGCAGTGGGGAAGCACCAAGAATGCAGGGGGCACCAGGAATCATTCTAGTGATGCTGGGAGAAGGCCTGGCTTCAAAAGCCTGAGGCATGGGACCCAGAGGGATTCAGCAGGGCTTGGGTTTTAGTGTGGGCTCTGCCATTTAATTAGCTCTGTGACCTTAGGCAAGGTGCTTAAACTCTCTGTGCATCACAGGGCTAAAGGTAAGGGTTAAATGAGGTCACAGACACAGGTCTCAGAAGAGTGACTGATGATGATGCATTCACTGTTATCATCAGAGGCAAAATGGTGGAATTCAAGAAATATAGTTCTAATAACCTCGAATTGTGATAGGAGGGGTTGGCTGCTAAACCAGAGCTTGCAGGCCAAGCCAACGGAGCTTGTACGTAACCTATCAGGAGAATTCAATATGCCCTGGTTTTTTATGACATATGGTGCTGTCATGTTCCAATGGCAGAACTGAACAGCTGGGACAGAGACCAGGGGTCTCACAGAACCAAACACATTTATGCTCTAACTCTTTGCAGAAAGTTTGCTGGTTGAGACAGAGCTGACCATTTTGACTTTTGTCCTGGACTTGAGGAACCAGAGGAGAGAAAAAAAAAATACTCCGATTTTTAAAAGGGCATAACATCAGGAGGGAATTAATCTGAGCTAAGTTTTGCTTGAGAAAACCACAACACCATGGCTTCCATTTCCCAGACATCTATTATGTGTCTGTCACCACTGGACATAGGTACCATGATTCCGTTCTATGGAGGCTGGAAAGCACAAGCCAGGCTGCGGGTGACCAGGGCAGATGCTGCCTCTGATCTGCAGTCCAGGCTCAGGGCTGGACCTGGGATCCCAGTCCTGCCTGGTTTCCTCTATAGGCTGGAATCTGGTGAGATGCCTCCGTGCCCTTTGCTGGATCATGGGCATGTGAAAGTCAACTAGGAAAACCAG